AATAATAATTTAAATTCTGCCTTGAAACAACTTAAAAGATGGCTTGAGAATAACGGTCTAGAATTATCAGTCGAGAAAAGTACAATAGTATTGTTCACTAGAAAACGTAATTCACCAGATGTAAATGTTGTGTATGATGAAATTCCAATTCAAAATAATCCCTTTACTAAATTTCTCGGAGTTGTATTAGATTCAAAACTCTCGGGTAATCAGCATTGTAATTATGTGGTAACTAAATGTGAAAAAGTTCTTAATATGATGAGATGTTTATCTGGAGTTTGGTGGGGTGCACACCCGTCTGCACTGAGACTTATATATAACGCTCTAGTAAGAAGTTTGCTTGATTATGGTACATTTTTACTTCAAGGAGGTAATGTTACTGCCTTTAAGAAATTAGATCTGATACAATATAAAGCATTGAGATTAATTATAGGTGCTATGAAATCATCGCCTACAAATGCAATGCAAGTTGAATGTGCGGAACCACCTCTATATCTGAGAAGACAATTCCTTAGTGATAAATTCCTATTCAAAGCTTACCAGTTTTCTCTCCACCCTATCTTTAAGAAACTAGAAACCCTTGAAAAATATGCTCGCTCTCTTAAGTATTGGAAACATAAACCTACTACTTGTCTCATCACTAGTTACAGAAAACTTTTAGCTATTCAAGCTCCTATTTATCGTTCTCCTATTTTGCCGATATTTAATAATACCTTTGAATCTTTGTGTTATACTCCTGATATTTGTTTTAATATAGGTATTGATAAAAATGATACAGAAACTAATATTTTATTTAATTTTAATGTAGATAAAAACTGGAAAAATCATAATTTTATTTTTACAGATGCTTCTAAATCATCTGACTCTGAAAATGTAGGTGTAGGTGTTGTTCATATACAGTATAATATAGTTCAAAAAATTAAATTACCCCCTGAAACATCAGTATTCACAGGTGAATGCTTTGGTATCTATAAAGCCATAGAATATATCATTTTAATGAAACTAAAGAAAACAGTGATTTTTACAGACTCTAAAAGTTCATTACAAGCTATTCAAAAATTTCCTTTTACAATGAAACCTTGTCATTCTATAATTTGTGGCATTAGAGATAAACTAACGCTATGTAAAGATTTACAATACTCAGTTTCCTTAGCATGGATCCCTAGCCATCAAGGGATAAAGGGAAATAATAGAGCCGACCAACTAGCTAAAGAAGCGATGAAGTGTGGAGACGTATACCCCTATCTTAATTATGTTAATGACATAATTTCCTTACCTAAACAGTATTTATTAGATACTTGGAAAGAGTTATTACCTAAGAGTTTTCAAATTAAAGGACAACATTATTTCAAATTGCAGCCCAATATTCGTATTAAACCATGGTTTACCAAAAAATACGATAAAAAATCCGTTACTATTATTATGCGAATGCGTCTTGGGCATGTGTGTACTCCTGCACATCTGGCCAAGTTACATATTGTAAGCAGTGACCTTTGTGCGTGTGGAAAAGATGTAGGAGATCTTGACCATATTTTCTTTTCTTGTCCCTTAAATGACTGTTCCTCTTTCATCGATGCCTTAATAGAACAAAAGGTTCCATTACCCACTCGAATATCATGTTTACTACAATATCCATGTGTATATTATAGTATCTTATCTTCTTTTATTCATTTAAATAATATCAAAATATAACAATGACTATATATTTTAATTAACCAATTATCTATTTACAATTACTCCTAAACTAGCAACTTATTTGATCCACTATTTGTATTCGCGTAAATATGTTTTCTATTTTATGAGATTGTTTCCCTACCTTTTACTTTAAACCCTAGAAACAACTCGACACTGGCAAATTGTTCACACATTATTGCCATACAGCAAAAAAAAAAAAAAAAAATTTATTTAATATTTGATATGGTCTTAGCCGTCGCCTTATCCTCTCGACATCGTTCAATGTTTTTCCCATTGACAACGCAGCTGGTTTCATGACACACGTTTATTTATTTTTACTTGAAATGTATACGTATACGAGAATTTCTCTAGTATGTAAAAAGTAAAAAGTAACATAATTGACGAAAATAAAAATGTAGGATGCTAATTGCGTAATTTAACCTTGGTCTAGGCTCACGGTGGGCATCAGATGCCCTGAGACATTTTGAAACCTAATTTATAATAACATTGTCGTATTATTTCATGTCTGATATTTATCGCAAAAAAAATATATGTACTACAACACTACTTTTAAACGCAGCCCGCGAGGTCTAGGTCATAAGGATAGACTAGGGAAAGTTTGAACTTGACTTGAGTCGGGTCGATTTAAGCGTAACTCGAGTTACTTCGAGTTAGCCTTGGCTACATCACTATTTTCGGTTTGTTGTTTTGCGTTTGTTCATATCCAGCAGGTAGTTCTATTTCTATCCAATTTATAAGTTATTCATGGTTACAGAAATCGAAAAATGTCTGCCAAGTCGGATATATTAAAAGGTAAAAACTTCAACATTTCCAATTCCATTCTAAACATTATATTGGATTCAATAAATTCAACAAAATTGTGTTGGTTTTACAGACACTGTGACAATACTTATAAATGCAGCTGGTGATAATGATAATGCAGTCAATAATGTGGTTATCAAGTCAATGACAAAAGTTGCGAATATTTATCCAAATGAAGTAATCGAAATATTCTGTGAATTCTACAAAAACACTGTCAAAGTAAATACGACACAGTTGGGAAATCTTGTAAAGTGAGTATTTGTATATACACTATGATATAGTATAATATATGATATAGTCTATAATATTGTATTATAAAATTCATATATATTTTTTTCTACATATATTATGAATGAGTAGGTCTTAACCCTATATTGAAAGAAAAGAACCCAAGATTGTTTTAACATTTTTTAGTGGGTAGTGGAAATTGCCTCTTAAATATTTATTATTAAATCTGTCGGGATTCCATTAAAAATTTAAAAAAAATAATATTTTGTATTATTAATTAAAATAATTTCATAATGCACTTCCATAAATATGAATGAATTAATTTATGGTTTTTGCAGAGTTTTAGAACAAACATGTGTAAATCAAGTGAAGAAACTTCAAGAATCTGTAGCTACAGAACTTGTCAACTCCATGCTCCGTGCAATGTCAGAGAATCCACAATATGAACCAACCGTACAACTTGGGGCGTCTTCTGTTTTAGTGGCCATAGGTCATGAACATTTGGATTTGGTATGTTATCTTTTTTTTTTAATTACCCTCCCTTACTCCCTGTCCAATTTCAAATTCCAGCTGATATATAAATGTTTAGCTATAAATATAAACAAGTTGAAGATGGTAGTCATTGGCTTAGATATAAACTTGATTGTTATTGTTTTATTTCTTTCTGTTAGATCCCTTAAGATCCTCTATATCAATAGTGGGTAAAGCTTCTACCTTGGGTAAAAAAAAACTTTGTACAAGATAACAACATTGTAGTCTATTTGCTGTTCTATATCTTATTATATAGACTGCCACAAGTTGGCGGAAGCTTTGTGGCAGAAATAATTTTTCATAACTGTATTATTTCAAGCATATTAAGATTGAAAATGGAAGGATGTGATCTTTGCCTACTCCACTGGGAAAGAGGTGTGAAATTATAGTAAATAATTATTTAATTTGAATTTAGGTCACTCTTGAAAAACATCTAATTGTCATTTTATGCATTGAAAAATAAAAGATTGTATGAAATATGGGTGGAGATAATTTTTTTTTATTAATTCTGTTGAATAACGCCAGATGTTTTAAATAATAATTGGCAGTGTAAATACTGAAACAAGACACTCATCTGATTCATAGCAGACTGTTTGCAGGTCACATAATAGTTTTTGATTATATTATTACTTACATTTAAAAAATGGCAGTGACTAAATGTTATAAGTACTTATATTTTATTTCTAAGTTTAAATAAATGAAACCAAAAAAATTTTTTTTTTTGAATAGTTTCTATATACAGTTTGAGTTATTTTAGAGTGTGGTTAGCACCATACTCTATAATCTATAACTCAAATGGAGGATCTTAAAATACTCTTTTTTTTTAACACTATATTTATTTATGATACTAGGGCCAGATATGCACATATATCATCAACCACCATCAATGTAACCAAAAAAGTACAAAAATATGAGATACATATTTTTGCTTCAATTTAATAAGAAATAGCTTGTTATCTAAACAGGCATTAAAGTTTTAATAATAATGATTCATATATCGCATGTCACTTGTCACATACAGTTGTTGTTATTAGGTACAGTTCATGTGACATCCGTTTTAATAAATATTTAAAATATATAAACTTTTACCATAATAGAGTTTAACATTTTTACATTAAGTTGGAGAGTAGGGGCTCGCTACATCATAGTATTTGTAGAAATGTACAAAGATGTGACAACATTGTATTTTAACTCAATGTATCACCATAATTTATTGATAATGTAAAAATATATATATATAATAATAATATGCCTGATGGACAGACAAAAAAAAATTTGACATCAGTAGTAATTTTTCTTTTAAATAAATATCAATATAGTGTTGTGAATGTAAACGATCAAATATGATGACAGGTGCTCCGTTTACTGATTAATCAATTGTCGCCGGCGTCTGTGCCGCACTACACGATCGCGCACACCCTCGGTACTCTAGCAGCGGTGAATACGCACGCTGTGGTGCCGCACGTCAAGGAAATTCTTGGCAAAATGTTGCCACTGCTGACACTCGTACGGAACGACGCGGTCAAGCAGGCATTCGCTTATGGTGCGTAATTATAATATAAAATTATTGAACCCGAATGAATGAATAATATCTTATTTTAACCCTGAAAAGATTCGCCTAAATGTCTTTTTATCTTAAATATATCATTTTTCTTGCAAAGAGAGTTCAAAGAGGTTCTGTTTTACTTTTTATAACATAGACTTCTTTGATATTTTTATACTACAAAGAGAGACTAATAGAATTGCTATTTACTAACTGTAACAGCAGTACCATAGAGAGATGTATGGTTGCAATACATATCGTTTTCTTAATAATCCTTATAGAATGTTCGTTTTTCATATACTCTGGAAACATACTTATATCATAACATATTAATATGAAGTATACAAATCATTTTTATTTTTAACAGCTTTTGGCCACTTCGCGGTCGCTGTTTCCGAACAAATTGGAGACAACGTGGAAAACGGCGATATCACATCAATAAAAGAAAATTTTGTCACAGAATTCTCCATTATATTTGACGTACTGTACAATCAGTGGCTACCATCAAACGAACCTAAAGTATCAGAATCTGTCTTAGAAGCTCTCGGTCCTATTACCAGACTGATATCAGAAAGACAATTCAACGAGACTGTTAATAAATTTATTCTTTCACTGCTGTCTTTGTACCGTAAACCCGCAATAAATTTCTACTACATCAGTCAATGTATATCGTATCTACTCTCTCCGTCGCCGCTCAATCCTAAATTGACTTTGAATGATAGCGTGATAAATTCTATAAATCATGTCCTATTCAATTTAATAGTATTGGAGCCAGATTACGACCAACCTCACACTGTTAAAAATCATTTTGAAGTACTCCGTTGTTTCGACCATATGGCCGAACAGTTTTCTGATCAAACTATTGAAAGCCTTCTTCATCAGTGCAAAAATAACCAAGAGAAAGATCGTATGAAAGCAGTGGTTATTTTAACTCACTTGACGACGTCTTCGCAAGTTTTCACAGAAAACTACTCAACAAAATTCATAAGTATTCTTAAAGTTATGACAACTATGGAACAAGGGTTAAAAATGAAAAAGTTACTCGTAAAAGCTATCGTAGGTTTGGTATATAGGAATTGTGTCGTATCTCCTGAAGATTTCATAATGGTGGAATTCATAATTAAAAACTGTGGATGCGAAGCCGCAGCCAATGCGTCAAAACAAGAAGTTATGGAGCTACACGACACTTGTAAGAGTTCTTTAGTGCTCATGTGCAATACAGTAACGAGTGTTCGCACACAACTCCGGAGTTTGCTTTTGACAGCATTAACAGTTGAAGATTTCACTCCCTCTTTATCAACCGTGAGTCTGTGTCTAACTTCGCTCTTACAAAACAACTCGGATGTTAGTATTGACGACCAAAAAGAAAAGCCACCCGAAGTCCAATACACCCCAGATTTAGTATTTGCGCGGTGTATTACATATATCGCTGACCCAGAACAGACAGAGCGGAATAAAAACCTTCTGGTATTCCTTGAAGAATATTCAGGGGATGTTCATAAGAATCTGAAAAACTCTTGGACTGTCGAAATTCAAAGGCTCCTAAAGTATGTTGAAAAGATTGAGTCCAAAGAGCAGTGGCACGACATGCTGTTGGTTCTTTTAGTATCCGCTGTGGAACAGGTAAATAACAATAAATGGGTTGAAAACATATCGCAACTCATAGCGTCTCAAATTCTTTCAAAGAAACAACCACCAATAATTAAAGGAGTTTCATTACAATATCTGGCCATACTTGCTTGTCACATGTCTAATGCTGCGGTGGTGGAGAATATTTTAAAAATAATACTATTCGCCCTGAAATCAATTCCGTTAGATAGCGTAGATTACGTTAGTAAAGCTATAGGGATAGCTTCACGACAACACGGAGAGTTTGTTCTTAATGAGTTGGACGCTACCTACAAAGATAACGAATCAAAACGCCACAGTAAAATTTTCAACTTTTTATCATCTCGTAATTCTAAAAATGATGCCGAACTAGGTGTAGTTAAGTATGCTGTGATAACTTCATATGGAAAAGTTGCATCAGAATGTCTGGATGTCCATGTCTTGGCTAGATTAGGTGATAATGTTACCTCAATATTGTATGAAATTTTGAAATCAAACCCTCCATTTGATTTATGTAAAGTGACTGTTACGACATTGTATCACATAAGCAAAGCGTTATATCCTGCTGCTCACCATAACGTCGCACTAAGGAACAGATGGCAACTTTTAAATGCTGTGTTAGAGCAAATATACAATCCCAACTTGGAAAAAAGAAATGTTGAGCTATATCCCATCATAGTGAAAGCTTCAAAAGCTCTCACTAAGTTACAAAAAGGCATTCTCCCTGAAGAAAGAAATACGATCGTACGCGTATTTTTCAGCAGCATATTTGAAGAATTGTCTTCTTTCAAAAAGAAATACGAAATCGAAGGCAACGGCGCGAAAAATGACCTTTTGGCCAAGACATTAAACGACAGTCTTACACTGCTTCACCAGCTGATCAAAGAGTTGATAATACAGTCTACATGTCTTAGTACTATCGATGATCTCGTCGGCTTGATAACTGAGTGGTTTCGACATGAAAACGATGAGATTCGCACTGCTTCCGTTTTGATTCTCCAAGTTATTTTCGATTCTTATTTAAAGAATGTTAAACTGAATTATGAAACTCCGAGCAAATTCGGACAAATGGGCTATTTGCTCGGCTTAGTTGTGCCCGGAGTATCTGATACTAACTTCGCTGTGAGATTGACCACTATAGATTGTATAAAATTAATTATTCAGATACAGGATTTGTACGAGGGTCATACGATAGAAAATGACGACCAATGTATGGCGAAACTTACTGCTTTGCAGAATAACGTATTGACGAATGATCTTAACATGATCAGTGACTATTGCGTGGTGTTATGTGAAACGATTTTGCCGAAGATACCACACCATCACACGATGCAATTCATCGAAAGCTTGTTGGAAAACTATGATAACCAAGAGCTCCTCAATGTGGGTATAAGTGCTGTACTTGACGCATTCCTAACCAAGAAAGGGCAAGACTTGTATCAAAATGTAGAGAGGATAGTGGAAGTGATGCTAAAAACCATGGATGTGATCGGGGATGACGCGAGCTGGAGGTTGATGAAACCTTTAACATCACTAGCTCGACAGCACTCGAACGCTGTAACAGCGATACTTTTGGGTCAGCGAATTCCGTTCAAACAGTAAGTTGTTTATATATAATTTTATAAGTGTTAGGGCGTCTTTTTAAATGAAACATTAATTTCAAGCACACAAAAGACAGTGAAGTAATGAGCAAAAACCTTTTGTATACTTATTCAAATCACCATTCTTGCTTAATCCTCAAATCAATTAATTCCAATGGTTATTACTCGTTTTAGATGCGTCCTATTGTGTTGGCGGCATTTAGCGCAGGACGAAAACCTTGGATCATTGATTGTTGACAATTTCTTGAGGCTAATGACATCGATAGAGCTTTACGAAGATCCGTACCATATCACGGACAATCATATAGCTGCTCTCCAACCATTGACAGTAAGAAGAACATAATTTTTAAATATTATTTTTTCAAATATCAATACTAATGTTATATAGACGAAAAGTTTCTAACTTTGTATCTTCAGAAATTCTTATCCGATCATGAAAATTCTTTGACCTACGGGAAGCTACATCATATCCTGATGACATAGGTCAGGGATGGCAAACCTTTATACATCAACGTGCCATTTTTCCGACAAAATATTTTATGAGCTTATAGACTTGCCATTAAATAATTTTGACTTTGTGATTATTTAGAAAATAAAAAATACTATCAAATCAAAACTCTTTATTTACCCCAAAAAAGTAGTTTGCAATGTTTTATTAGGCTAATTTTATATAGTTAATGTAAAATAATAAAAAAGTTTTGTAAAACAAGCTTTTATTTGTGCGCACTATAACTTAAATGTAAATTTTAAACATTTAAACAATTTATTATGAAAATTGTCTCTAACAGTAAGCATTTTTACTTTTATTATCCATCAATGTTTCTGTTTCAATTAATTACTTAATTTTTAATGAATTTCATGTTCAGTCATGTACTCAAAATATTATGCCGCGTGCTATTGCTGGCACACGTGCCAATGGTTCGCCATCTTTGACATAGGCTATAATTTACTCAGGTATATAAGTCGCGTGAAACACTAGCAGCTAGTTTTGAGATAAATAGGTATAGCATAATGTTGTCTTATTTATTTTAAATATGTAAAATATGTACACACGACTGCACGTCAGGTAACCACAATATGTCAAACTTCTGCAATTGATTTTCACCTCTACCCTCAGTATATTAACATTGCAAATCGAGTGGAGAAATCTGACATGCAGTTGACTGTACACTAAAAATGTATGAATAGAGAGGTTAACTTAAACATGAATGGAAATACGCTTACTAGCAGTATCATGTATATAAGAAAGTCTAGTCTGAGGTATGTTTCAAGAGCATTCGTCCGGTTAGAGAGTTACTGATTCGAGTTCTGCCCTGGATTCTGTAAAAATCCATACCCGAATTCGTATTCACTCTAGTGAAATCACTTCAAGAAGTGGCATCCGCTCAAGCTTGAATTGGTAATAACTTATGTGGCATAAGTGAAGTGAGTTTCGAAATGACATAGGAATAGAATATCTGAGACACGTATATCCAACCAATTTTGTTTTGTATTTTTACACAAAAAATGGAATCAATGGAATTTATACACTAAATGACATGAATGACTCCGAATTCAGGTCTGGATTTTTACAGAATTGCAGGGCAGATCGCATAAGACGGTCTGATTCTAAATTGTGGTTTGATTTTCAGCTAGTGAGCGCGTTAGGTGAAATGCTTCAAGAGGAGACTATGGATCAGATCTGTGTATCCAAGTTCGCCGATATGTTTACTGTACTATACACGACGGTCGCGTGTTATATAGAAGCGGAGCCGCCTGCGTATTGTTTGCCCGCCAACAAGTCACAGGAGAGGCTCGGATATGTTCCCAACAGGGACTCCATAAAACTCTCCCCGGCTAAGATCACGGTCCACACCTTCAATTCGTTCCTGGAGCGGGCGGGTTGTCAGAAGGTCAGTTTTGTTGTAGTAATTTGTATAAATTAGCAGTAACACTAGCGAGAAAAATTATTGAATGTGTATCAAAGTTTCTAATTTGTATTCGATACTACAAATTAGAAACTTATCAATGATAATGACCAATAAAAGTTGATCATATCCTTTGCAGTTTTCATATATTTTCTTCAGTTTTAGCTACTATTTTTTTTCGTTAGTAAAACCTTTTTTTTTGTCAAAAGTATTTACATCAATATTTTTTTTTGTTTTTTAATTTATTATTTAATGAATTATTTAATTTATGATATGTAAAGATAATAAGAGGAACGAGATGGCGTTGTGGCTAACGCGATCGGTTTGCGATACTATTGTTAAGCAACTTTCGCGTAGCCGTTCATAGGATGGATGCCCAAAAATATGTCATCTCGAACTCCTTCGTACTTCGGAAGTACGTTACGACACCGGTCTGGCTGCATCTGCAGTTGTTAACACTTACCAATCCGAACTGAGCCCGCGTGTTTAGTCATGGCGGCTAAATCTCCCCATTCGATTCATTGGGAAAGTCTGAGCCCCTGGTGAGCATTGAGAACATCAATGGGCTGGTGATGATGAGAGATAATAAAATGGGACTATAGAAAACTTTTTATTATATTTTTATTTTATACATGAAATATTTTCTTAAATGATATAATAAGTTCAAATCTAGAAATAAATTTAATTTTCCAAATTTCCCAAGAACACAACACTTCTGTCAGGCGTCACGGCCCTCTGAAATAAATATCTTTCTATATTATGCATAAGGTTGAATTCTCTAAGTTCTAATAAGAGTAAGAAAATCGCGCGCCCTGTTTGCCGTCAAGCGGCAACGAGCATAAAATATTTGCTTTTTCACAATTAATTCAAGCAAAGCGTCACCGCTTTACTGTGGAGATTCCACAAACTCGCACCAAGCGATTCGCCTCTACATTCATCGGGCGAACTGCGAAGTTGTGGAATTCGCTGCCCGACTCGCTGTTTCCGGACAAATACAATCTGGGACTCTTCAAGTCAAGAGTGAATCGGTTCCTTCTAGGCAAGCACGCTCCATCTTAGACCACTGCATCGCTTACCATCAGGTGATCTGTGCTCGAGTGCTTGCCTGAATAAAAAAAAAGCGTTATTATCGGTAATAGTTAATTAAACACTGCCAGAAAAAAAAAACCCTGGTTGGCTGTATCATTGATACACCCATATTTTATGCGTGGATACGTCTATGTATGAATGGATATATGAGTAATTGATAAACAAATTGAAGACACTAAACACTAAATAAATAAAATTCGTTGCGTTCATTTGTTGAATGAAAAAAGTATTCACTGGCGCCAACAGATGGCGTTAGTACATATACTCCTGCTGACAGAATGCCCCTCCCCCTGCAGAGCGAGCATAGTTCACTTATACGCCAATAGATGGCGTCAGTGCATATACTCCTGTTCACAGAATGACCCCCCTGTAGAACGAAAACATAGACGTATCCACGTCAAAATCAGTTTAGTATCTACACCCGTATTGGTCAGGTGAAGGAAGCGTGTTCCCTATGCCTGAGCGTGGAGCACGGCGACTCGTCCACCACCCTGCTGGAGCTGGCGCCGATACTGGGCGGCGCGCTCAGCCGCTCGTGCCCGCAGCACCTGGCGCGGCTCGTGGCCCGCGCCGCCACGTATGCGCGCTCACCTTTACCGCCGCAGCGCGCCGCCGCTCTCGCCCTATTGGCCGACCTGCTTAATTACAGGCGAGTCAAAAAATAAATTCAAATTCATTTATTTTAATACAGACAAAAGACACAGTACATGTTGTAAATAAAAATATGATAGCACACAACACTAGACAATAAGATACAATAACACATTAAAAATTTAATTAAATGTAGTAGTTAGTAGCAGCCGCACCTTACACAAAAGAAAAACGATTGGTGGCTTTCTACTACAACTGGATCAGACCTGGATAGGTCTGCCGATGGGAATCGATGTTCAGATACGGTTGAAAGATACGTAGAAACAAATTATAATGCACCCACGTACCTTGAGAAGATCGATGACGAGTTCCACGTCGATAGTGCACCGGCCGGTCCCTTTACTGTCCAGTATATCCGATATATTTTAAATTAGTCGTCCAGATGAGTATTGAGTATACGATGTTACGTTTGGTAGATGGCGTTCAACTGCCCTCAAGTTTGTAAAATAAAAACTCGCGGGTACAGAGTGCATGACGGCTCATAAAAATGGCTGCGATTTGTTCCTGTATAATATACACACAGAAACATCGATTGAAAGTTATTTAAATTAAAAACACTTAAGTTCCTATTTTTTGACAATTTAAAATTCATATACTTATGAATAAGGAATGGTGACGAAACATGTATAATATTTCAAATTTAGCATCCATGACTGTAACAAAAGTCGACGTCGGCATGCCCACTAGATCACAGTGCCGTTTAGTTCACTCGTTTGGATACACTGGTGTCAGAGTATGCTGGTGTACCCGATTAAGAGTACGGAACAATGAGGAAGTATTAAAAAAAAAAACATTAGTTCCCGAAATAAAACTTGATGTCGCTACGGTACGTTCTTGATTTCTCCATGACAACCCTTCCGGTTTTCTTTCATGTTTATAAGTAAATAAGTTTTCGAAACTCAGTAAACAACTCATATTCTATTTGTACTTTTTCGTATTTATATTGAAAGTTTCGAACATTTTTTTTTATTCTTAAATTTTAAGAGGGTTTTTCCTTGCGGAAATGTCACCTTATTTCGAACTTATCAAATCTCATGTTTTTAATATGTTAGTTAAAAGGAACGGAAATGACTGTCTTTGATCCATTCGTTTCCTGCAAAAATTTTTTTTTTAATGCTTCCTCATTGCAGTGTCGATAGATGGCCAATACGTTCGAGAGTAAGCATGCTGACCCTACTTATATTGACCCTACCTATACGTATAAATTTTTAAAGCATTATTGATTTAAATAGTATAAATATCGCTTAATCCATAAATTCTCATTGATACATTCCGTTTTTAACGGCTACTAAAAACGGTCAAAATTATCCAATGAATTTTAACCCTTAATCTTATTAGAATATAAGGTTCATAATTTTGTATGTACTGAATGGTTATATTTTTTTAGGTGCAACGAAAATGAAGTTTTAATTGAAACAGTACTAGCTACTTTGACTACCGGTTGGAAAGACGAGGACGCTCGCGTGAGGGCAACGTGTATGCGCGGCGCTGCCAACGTGGCGCGTTTGTCGCCTGTACACAGGACCAGAGCATTGCCCGCCGCTCTAACCGCTCTCAGTCACGGTGTAGATGCACAATATGCAAAGTAAGCCGCATGAAAGCGAATAAAGAAAGCAAATGAAAATATCTTTTAAATAAATTAGCTTATTTCAATAAGCTTGTTTATTAAAGCTTATTAAAATAAGCTTGTTTATTAAAGCTTATTAAAATAAGCTTGTTTATTAAAGCTTATTAAAATAAGCTTGTTTATTAAAGCTTATTTCAATTAGCTTATTTATTTAAAAGATATTTTCGTTTGCTTTTGCTTTGTTCAAAAATGTTTCCTTACCCGTTAAGGCGGTTCTAGCCATAGGATGTATTATCGATACGTTTAATTTTACTACTTTGACATGTATTTTAACGACTAAAGAATGATGAATATAAATTACGACAAGTGTTTTTCCACCACCTAACATGAGAAAATCTGAAAAATAAATTTAATTTTCCAAATTTCCAGCGAAAACGCTAGCTTCTGACATGGCGTCGATATGACATCGCGGCGCTCTGAAACTAATATCGTTCGATGTATGCATAAGGTTTAATTCTTTAAGGTCTAATATGAGTAAAAGGTGACGTCACGCGCTGTTTGTGGTCACGTGTCAACGAGTATAAAGTATTTGTTTTATCATAATAAATTTAAGCAATGTTATAAATATAATAAGCATAAAAGTGTGATTATCGGTGATAGTATATTAAACACAACCAGAAAAAAAATGTATATATTTTCGTTTACCGTCTGCACCCGTATTCTGATTGGTCAAATTGAACAAATGTTTACGCTTGAAAGCACACACTATGTATCTAATGTGTCTGAAATCTGATAATCTTGTTAAATAATTGATTCGATTAAACCTTTACGTAAAGTAATTTAAAATATACATAATTTGCAGATCTATATCGGACAACGTACCGCTTGCAGCCATCCAAAGCCTCACCAGGCTGCTATCCGAGACTGACCAAATAGACAAAGACTTCGAACGTGAACTGCTTTCCATATCGCAAAAGATACGTCCGTTCATGAACACGGATTGCGATCAACTGAGAGAGAGCTCGATCAGGCTATTCGGTGTGATCGCCGAGAGGATATCTGATCCTCTAGTGGATCAAGCTATCACGTCATTGCCGTGCTTCTTGCTCCATTTGTGCGACATCAATCCTGCTGTGGTTAGAGTGAGTGATACCGTTACGATTCTATATCCCCGACTTTTTCGTTCACATACCTATTTTAGCCATAATTATCAACTTAGTGTGTAATATTTTATGGTATTCGGACAAAATCTCAATTAGTAGTTAATATAAATTGTAAGACTTGGGATATTTAACTATCACCGTATGGTGTTGTTTTGTCTCTATAGATTTCAGTATACAAAAAAAACATTAATCAATATAGTGTTGTCAGTAAAAGCTAAAGCGTGCATTTTTTCAACTATAATCCGGTCGCCGAACAAAGAGACATCTTCGCACAATGACCCGCTATTACATAACGCTATCATTCGTATGCAAACATTTTACTACTGCAATAACCAATTTTGTCATAGTAAAGTAAATCTAAAATATTTACGATATCTATCAGCCGGCACATAGGTCAACGTATGAAATTCTCTGTTCGGTCTATAGATATTTTATTTGAATAATTAGTATGAATATTAAACTACAAAAGTTGTCAAAGTTCCATCAAAGATATTATCGCATGTAAAGCAATGGACCTAACATTGAACCTTGGGGCAGGATACTAACACTAATTCTCAATGTGCAGGCTAGCAAGTTCACACTGAAAAGAGTGTTCAAGATTTTTAACGTGAAGAAATCAAACGATCTCGTTCAGACCCACCTCCTGGATGAGGGTAGATTGTATTTGGAGGAGTTTCTGGCGGCTCTAGTGAGGCAGATGGGCGAGGAGATGCCGTCGAGTGTGCCGCGCTGCCTGCAGGCGTGCGTCAACTATCTACACTGCGGACAGGAACATATGAAGCCGCGACCACCGCTGCTGCTGGGTGAGTGTACTTTGCGTTGTTGTATCTAGACGATATGCTTATAATATACGTCTTAAATTATGTCCCAATACAAATATTATTGTGTTTAGGGTTCCACCATAAATGTAAATGCCTTAACAGATTTGAATGTATCATCACTCGGGATAACTTAACGTTTCTACTTTACGTTATCCTGAGTGACAATGGCTATATTTTTTAATATTGGCTAATATAGCGCGCGTGTGTCATTTAAATGTGTTGTGTCGATGGATTTTCTGGAAAGGTATACTAAAGAGTTTTTTTTAATCTACCAATCCAGGATGAGATTAGCACGCTTCGCAATCCGGGCGACTGCTCTAACTTTGAAATACCAGAATCCTTAACGGGACTGAAGTATTTTTCAAGCACTTGTTACTTTCGCTACTAGTGAGCTTGTTGTCATCGATGTTCAGGGAATGCCCCCAAATAACCGAAATAATATTTCAGACGTTCTATTATTATAAAAATGTGTTATTATTATATTTAATAAATTTTGCATTCACCATTTTTTTATTACTAAAATATGACTTCCAAAAATTAGACAGGTATCAAATCGAGACGGAGCGGGATGTATTAAAAAAAAATTGGTTACCCATCCAATTACCAGCCTTTGCAAACCAGGCGCACCAATCACTATATGCATGCCCCAAGGTTCATTACTAGGTCCATAGCTTTATATGTGATTCCCTATGTCATTGATGGAACTTAGAAAACTTTGAACTTGTGAAGCAAAAAAAATAAATAAATAAAATAAAATATCTACAGGTCTTTTATACGCCGAGTTATATCGCATTAGAGAGAAGACCTTCGAAGAAGTGGACTTAGATCCTGACGTGACTCGTAGTGCACGTACGCGTTTGTTACAACTCGTTAAAGATTCTAATCCACAGGTAAGACATTCAGTGACAATTCAAACGCTCTTTACTCTCAGACGATTAAAGTAATGAACGAAATGGGTATTAAGAGTACCGCTTTAATTTCTCCTAAAATGGAATCCTATTTCTTATTTATTCTAATAAAAATATTCATTATTATACGAAAATATTTGTAGTATTATATGCAGAGTCATTATTGTCCTTCCGTCCGTCTCAGGAACGCTCGCAGTTCTCGTATTTCAGTTTTTGTCAATTGTTAAAAATAAAACAAATTTAAAATGCGGTCGTCTGAGCCTTATATTTTGACTCGAGTGAATCAAAACCGGTGTATTATCTATATTTAATTTATAACAAAGCTTTACTATGATATAGGTGCGACAAAACGCTGCCCTCGCTTTGGCCAACGTCTGCCTCGTTGCCGCGCTTGACGCGTGACGTCACTCCACCCATCTAACTATGACGTTACACAACGGAAAGTTCATCTTCAGGATCAATTAGCTGATTATAAAATCAGCAGCGTAATAATATATGACTGAAATAAATTATTTGATTTGGAGGGGGAGACTGTATATTGTCTGTAAATAATGGGGGGGGGGGAGAGTATGTACTATTTAACATTGTTTATATGAGTTATATGTTCCATTACAAATTAAAAAAAATCGTAGGCTCGGTTCTGACATACGTCTTCAAGATTGTGTCTCTCTTTCTTTCTGTATACATAGAACAAAGATAGGTGCCATGTACTATCAACATAACGGAAAAGTTTTTGTTATTGTTCTTCTGTTGTAAAGCATATGGCATAGCAGACGTTATACTGTACTCTATTTACAATGCAGTAAGTCTTAAATCGATTTAAAATTGACACATTCACAAAGTACTGTATTCATATGTCCTGAGAGTGACAATACTTGTTTGAAACATGAAACTGATAATTCAGAATGATTTCGTCCAAATTTCTATTTGACGTTCGGAATAATAGTTCAAGTGACAAAAATAATGGTAATAAGCTTAGATTATTAATAACGACATTCATATTAAAGCATTACCAAATCAATGCCAGTGTCAGGTTACTCAAGGTTTTTTCTAAAATTTGATTAAAACAAAATACTGTTACATTTTTTTCCACGGCTACGGCGAAGCGAAAAAGAGGGTTATGATTTTGGGCGGTATATATGTATGTAAGAACGTTCTGCTATTCTCTTATAACTTCAAACTACTCGTAGTAACTGAACAAATGAGATATCATTAGCGTCTTAGAACTTATTTTTTCATAATATAGATTTTTTAAACCCATACTAATAAGAGACTTATAATCGTTGTTTAGTTACGTATAGTTCTGTTCACGTCACTCTAATGTGACTTTCGATTCGATTGAAAAGGACAAATCACTATATATTACAATACAGCACTTATCCACTGCTTATTGGTGAAGCCTATAGTTTTGTGACATTTCCCAATAGGCGACTTGGGTATATTTGTAGAGTAGGTATATATAAAATACCATAAAGAATCTATAATTTGCCAAAGTTTCATTTTTATGCAATGAAAAATGAGAATATGGGAGTCGACAAACTGTGATGAAATGAATTATGATATTTATGTTGCCTCAACGGCTTAATAATATAGCCATAGCTGAAAGCGATGGCTTACCTATGATAATTAAATGTATTTTACTCATGTTGGGAATGTATATTAGTTTATCCCTTTATAAGATCATCTACTGTTATTATAAGGATATTATGAAAGTTAGATTTTTATAAGTAATTGATAATGGTGTTATTGTTGCATTTATACAATAAGCTTTCTACATATATTATTCAAAAATAATATTATAAATACAAGCAGTGCTGCTAGGATATGTTTAAGGTTATGTTTAATAGTTTTGTCATTATTCAAAGTTTTGATTACCGGATTGTTCGCCCAGTTGATTAGTATACGATGGAAAAACATTCAATTTCTCGAAGAATAATAAAAAAACTACAGAATTTTAAAATACTGTATTTTGTTTTAGTGATAAAGGTTATTAATTATGATGTCTTCTGCAGTGCGTTACAATAACGATAATTAAAAAAACAAGTTAATTATGCAAAAAAAAATGTATACTACATATTATTGTTTACATATCAGTTACCATTTCCAACATATTTAATAGTAGTCAAATATCACAATACAGTCCGCACGTGAGTGAGGATTCGGAATAATTTTTCCCAACTAGCAAACGACCTCACCATGTTTTCGCACGTGTATATATATATTAAATACTTTAAACCTACTGCAAGATATTAATTTAAGTCACAATTCAAACTAATTACGTTAATATTATTTTCGAATCCTCGGAGCTCGCGCGGGCTTCAGTATCAAACCAGATATATATCATTTTCGTGTCAATACTGGTGCACTGTCACATAAAAACATTTAATCCGGCAAACGGCGGCACTGTATATTATTCTGTTCTTTATTATTTAATATGTCGCTAATAGGGGTGTAGACAACTTTAAATGTTTTTATTTTATAGATAAACATGAAATATATCTAAAAAAATATCATTCATGTAATAAGTTGAAATCTAAAAATAAATATAATTTTCAAAATGGCGTTGCTATGACGTCACGGCCCTCTGTAACTAATATCGTTCGATGGACGCTAAGATTGAATTTTATAAGTCCTGATATGAGTAAGAGGGGCGTGACGTCACGCACTGGTTGCGGTCACGTGACAATGAGCATAAAATATTTGCTCATTGTCACGTGTGCCATTATTTTGTATACTAAATATTATCAGAAAAAAAAATATAATATCTTTTTCGTTTACTGTCTACACCTGTATTGTATATTAATATCATAAGTAAATTTGGGGCAATATTGTATATAAAAAAAAAAAAGAAATGATAAAATTTACTTTATTTGGATTTAGATATTGTTTCAATATTTCACGACTGAAAAAATGCTTTTCATATATTATTTAATTATTAGAGCTTGTTTTATATGGAGTTCCGTTTCTTAAATGTTATAGAGATATCCCAGTAATAGGTACTTATTATGTTAAATTATATTATAATATAATAAATTAAATGATTCTCGGTAAATTTCGTTTTTGTCTTGGAGTGCAGAATTTATATACCCAAAAAAAAAAAATTGTATTATATTATGGCTCATTGTCATCTACTTATATACTACCTGACCTGTAGAGGTTCTAAAAACGATATTAAATGCAATTATATCTGTATTCAAGTAAAGACCTACCAACAATAGACTTCTAAAATTTAAAATTAAAAACATCTAAAACTAAATTCATCATAAAATCGATTTCGAGGTTTGCAAAGTGATACCTCGCAAATTTATTTTTACTGCCGCCGCGTTGATCTCTTCATTTTTTGTTGAGCTTCACGCTCTGAAGTTTCCTTACAAATTTCGCACCTGTATGGACAAAGCAAAATACATTGAGGCTTTACTTCATACATACGATACTTAACGATTGCTCTTACTAATGATGATATTAGATTCCTCGTGTGTATCAATTTAAACCAGTTTGCAGAGGAAATCTCGTCCACAAAAACCATAGATCAGTTGAGAGCGTAATTATACGAATTGTATTAAAAAGTGTATAACTGTCGATACTATTATGAAATCATCTATGTAAACAAATAGAGAACTGTAATTCTTACTTTGGCGTCCTCGCAAGCCAAAAATACTTGGTAGGGTCACAGTAGGACCGAAGCTGACGGTTGTCCCACGCTGCGGTGTCCATTCTCCACTCTGGTGACACATAGGGTGCCACTAGTCTTTCCAGCGTAATCTGTCAAAACGCCCTCGATAAGTCCAGTTATATGTGGGTAGTTTTTCTATATTTACATGAGATTTAAATGTAAAGGACGATGCTTTAATATGTTTTTGAATTATATTTGCGCTAAAATAAACTCAAAAATCTACCACTCTAAATTATTTATTGATTGATCTTAATTAGTCTAGGATTAGCACTATTCGTTTTTCTATCTAGCGAACATACTTCTATTGCTTACTAGATGGAGACTCCAAGGCGACAACATGAGAATTCAGTTAAAGCACTGATTACACAACACTCGACCAGTAATTCCAAATATCATCATTACTGTTATTTTAATTATCGTTTAAGATATGTTGTTAGTTTGTTTGCATCGAATAGGCTCCAAAACTTGATCAATTTTAAAAATTCTTTACACCTTCGAGAAGCTTCTCGTACTTCATCATACGCGAGTGACATATAATATACGCGGGCGAAGTCGCGCGAAAACAGCTAGTATTAAATAATTTTGCTATGTACCGGATTGGCGGGAGCTAAGACAGGAGATAGCGGCGCGCGCACGTTTTCACCAAATGAGATTCTGGATTCACGAGCTGTCTTTGTAAGCGTCGTCAGATAAATATCCTTTACCAACCTTTGGCGGTCACTGTGGACAGTTTAAATTATGGTTAATAATTAATGCTGAGGTCTGGGTTAATCGTACATAACATGGTCGGTCGGTAAAATGTCATTGAACCAATACTATGTGAAACTCACTATAGTACGAAATTTTGTCTGTTAGGCGACCATGTTATAATTCTAATGCTGAGATGTTTTTTCGGCTTACAGACTCTCCGACTACCGAAAAATTTAGTTTCTGCATAAAATAATCTTTTCGGGGAATTTAGTAAGTAATTCGATATAGATACACTGAATCCAAGTATATAAAGTGTTTAAATTAATGCCATATTAATAAAGGTATTTACCTAATTTATCTTGACATAATTTATACTTATTTCTTACCTCTCATTAGCATTATCCAAATAAACCGCGGGTGTAATAACGAGTCGTGGACGCGTCCTTTGTACTTCCTTCTGTAGATGATCGACTGGGTGGAACTGCATTTGATGCATAAAATTCACGGATTATAAACATGCGTTATTAATGCTGATTATTAATCTTAGCTTAACGAGTTGCTCAATATGAATAATCCTAATTTAAGTGTCCTTACTTATAAAATATATTTACAGAGGATTTCAGTTGTTACTCACATAAGGTTCCTGCGGTTGTCTAGGATTTGTTTGAACTATGTCCTTTGGTTTATGCATTAAATTGAATGGTACATTGGGCACTCTCCAATCAGTAAGCGCGTGCAGGTCTTTTAAAGGTTTTGGTCTAATTCTCAAACAAGACTGTTTCCCTTTATAAACTGTTTTAATTAACGGCTCAATTTCACCATCACGAAAATCAGTTCGAGTTGTTGTTTCATAGTTGAACAACATATTTTCATAACGTGCTTCGTACTTAGACATTTTGAAATATTTGAAAATTATAATAAAATAAAATTACATAAAAATTAAATATAGTTTAAATTCTCGTTGTAAACATCAAAAAACGTAGTAAATATCTAATTCAATCCAAACTATGATAAAAAAAATTCAACGAGTATACAACTGATAAAAGAGATTATAAATGATTTTATCAAGGAGACTCGGAATCTTTCAGAACTCCTTAGTGTTATTATTTTATAAAAGGTTCTTTAGATTGTCTATGCGTGGCATTACATTAATTCCGTAATAAATACTTTTACTCTTTGCATTAAGCCCTTTGGTCATATATCTATGACTTATTTATACGTTGATTTCAAGGAGTTTATAATTTAAAACGCTTGATCGATTACGCACATCTATGACTTTATACAAGAATTTTAAGTAGAATATTTAACGTAGTATACGTTTTAACTTTAAAACTTCTTTTGTACTGCAAGAAATCGAACAAATTTTATATATATGATTTTTTCTTTATAAAATGTATGAGCCAATTAGCGGTGTGCTTGGTCGATGATAATAATTCCTTCTCGTTGGTTCACAACAGTTAAACCTAGCGTCGATATAGCAATAGTGTAAATCAAACAACTACAACTTATAATTAATATCTTGTTTTATTGGTGACTATATAAATCATAGATCGTCACGATTATCTAGCCAGTCTATTAACGTCCCCACTGCACTCAGGCTTTCCCTATCGAATCGGGAGAATGGGCCACGACCCACCACGCGGGGATTGGTGGGTGTTAACTACTACAGATGCAGCCGGGCCCAACGACTTAACGTGCCTTCCACGGAGGAGTTCGTTATAATAGATTTTTGGTCACCCATCCTATAACCATTGCGAAAGTTGCTTAACCGTTTTGCAGACCGAGCGCGCTAACCACTGTACCATCGAGCTCCTCTTATAGATGAAACACAATTAATATTTAGGATTTATTAACTAGAGCAATTATTACAATATCAAACTTAACAAAATAAAATCAATAAAGCTAAACACAAGCATAAATTAACAGAGTCTAAAAATAAAATAAACTTAATTTGGCCTTAACTAATTCTTTCTTTGTTGTCGAAGCATTTTTCGGTGTTTTGTCATAACAGCAGTCTCGTCGCACGCTTTACAGCTAAAATAAATTCATTAGGTACATTAATGTAAGCTTAAAATATGGTAGAATTATTTTTTGGATACATTTATACATTAACTAGCTTTCCAGCCAGCGACTTCGCTCGCGTGGTCTTATATTATACATAAAAATCTTCCTTTTGAACCACCCTATCTATGAAAAACCGTATCAAGATCCGTTGCGTAGTTTTAAAGATTTAAAAATACACAGGGATAAGGGACAGAGAAAGCGACTTTGTTTTATACTATGTAGTGATATGTAATGCTTACATTAGAAGCAGGACAAATAGGTTAGATTCGCTCTCGATTCAAACGCGTAGTGTCGCAAACATCAAAAATTATTGAGGAATACGCTAGTCTCACATGCTATATCTAAATGAGCGTCGACAAACAAAAAGCTTTAAATTAGACTATAGAAACCTTTAGCTATAAATTTTGTAAAGGTCGTTTTTTTTAACGAGATCTTAAGTGTAAGGTGGGCTTCAAAATTATGATGATTTCGGCGCCCCCTGACACTGACGACAGGTCACTTGAACTATCTTTACTCCCTTGGCTTATCGCCCCAAAGTGGTTGTTGGTCGCCAAGTGTCAGTATTATAAACCAAACTCACTTGGGTAACGGGAATGCCAACCAGAACCGTTCTGTGGGGTCGCAGTGGCCGCGCAGTTGCTTGCTGTCCCAAGTAACCGATTCCATTCGCCATTCGGGCGATACATATGGCGCTTGCAGTTTCTGCAGACGTATCTGAAAATAATAGGGTTATTATAAAAATGGACTCGGTACATATTTTTTGTGTAGATATTCTCATTTCTGTTCTGAATATCCGATTCCCAAGATGACCAACGGTTTCAAAATGTCCTATTAGCAAAAAGTCCAATTCTTAAATGTGTTTTCTTTTTAATGATAAATAATAAATTATTTAGTCTAGGTATATATAGTTTAAAACAAGTTAATTTTTTTTTAAAACTATTCGCCGAATTTCGAATAATGAACACTTATTTGGAAACGAATATTCACAGCTTCGTCTATATGTTACAGAATAAATCAATCACTTCCTGCACGAGGTGGGCAAGAATAGGAACCATGTATACATTAGTCTGATTTCTGCTTAGCTTTTTCAAAAGTCACTATTTCAGCTTGGTAAGTACAGTCAACAACACGTCAGGTTATACCAAAGTGTTATAAAAATTTCTCCACTTTATTTTAAACCTTATTGTATTGTAGAATACAAAATTAAATTCTATAAAATTATCAAAATTAAATAGCTAATTCCGAGGTTACTGCATGTAACCTCGAAATTAGCTATTCAACCATCTTAATTTTATACCTTTTTTCTTTTCTTAGCTCCGTCATCAATACGTAATTCATGATTACTGTAATGAATCTTAGATACCCCAAATTAAAACCAAAATCGTTTATTTGAAAATTAACGAACGTAGCTCGCGTTGGCCATCATTATGGATATTTGACATATTGGGGTTACCTAGAAAAGTGTTTTTAGAACTAACAGGATTAGCGGGTGCGGGGTGGTTGGGAAATGGCGCTTGCACGTTGACAAATTCCGCTACAGCTTCCCTTTGAGAGTGCGTCGCGTCGCTCGTGTACATGTCCCGGCAGAGGATCTCGCGGGTGCGTGGATCCTCTATATCGTCCATGCTCACAGCCGGCGTCATCACGAGCCGTGGCCGCGTTTTTATTGCATGCGCCAGCCCCGGATCGCCGGGGGCTGACTGGAGAAATAAAAAGTATTAGCGATTGCCCAAAAACCGATTTCGCAGTTTCGAATTCAGGGGTGCGACCTCTTAACTCTCTTGTTATGTTTCTAGCTATAGAATACAACATCTGGGCGATGTTATGTCGATATTATGTCTCATTTTACTACTTCAACATGTACTTCATTAACAACGAACGAATGATAGAGAATGATGATTATGCGTTTGACAGCAGCGTTAGTCTTTTGGTGGATAAATATCTAATTTGGTAACACTGTTGTCAATTCCGTTCTTATAATTCTTTATCATTCGTTTGTCGTTAATAAAGTGCATGTAAATATCTATACGACATCGCTAAGATGTAGTTTCCTATAGCTAGAATCATGGCTAACGAATTAGGCGGTCGCACACCAGGGCGGGATTGACTTTTTATCTCTTATCGAGTTATTTTATATCCAAAGAATAAAGCAAACAAAACATACGTGTTTCTTCTGGACATGCCAAGGGTTAGTTCCTACAATGGGCCGTGGCTGGTGCAGCAAATCGAAAGGTATCGGTTGCCCTTTCCATTCACTCAGTGTGTGTACGTCCTTCACGGGCGGGGGTCTTATCGCTAGACAACGTGGTTTTTCTTTATATTTAGTGGAGATTGGCAATTCAAAATCTGGTTTACGATAATCCGTCAGGTTCGTTGTTTCGTAGTCAAAGAGCATTCTCTCATACCGTGCTACTGCGTCCGGCATTGTGATTATTATGAATAAATTTTTAATTACTCTAATTAAACTAGAGAAAACTGCTAATTCTGCAGTAACAGTATTTGTATAGAAGCGCTTGTTTAGGGTGTTACCTCTACAGCTTTGATATTGATAGTTCTTTTTAATTCGTAAAGATAAAAATGGGAGATAAAGACATTATGACATCAGTAACATTATTAGTGTGACTTTACTCTTTGGCGTTGCTATTGGTATCCCTATAACGAGTGTCTATGATCTAAGCCCGTAGTTAAGGGTCCGTAACATAAACAAGAAGGTTATATTACTTATCTGTATAAAGGTAAAGTATACCTATATAGGAAGTATTAAAAAAAAAGAAACTACTAAAAGCACTTCCACTAGATGGCGACTCTAGGAAAAGTTGATTTTTGCTGGAAGCGAATGGACCAAAGATAGTCATTTCCGTTCCTGTCAACTAACATATTAAAAAATTGAAATTTGCATAGTTCGAAATTTAGATATCAATACAAAACGAAAAAGAACGAATAGAATACGAGTTGTTTATTGAGTTTTGAAAACTAATTTACTTTTATACATGAAAGGAAACCGGGTTGTCGTGGGGAAATCAAGAAAGTACCGTGGCGACATCTAGTTTGATTTCGGGAACTACTTTTTTTTAAATACCTCCATCTTGCTGCTCGTTTGTCTCGCTAAATCTCGAGATTTAGCCGATTTTGGTTTTGAAATGTTTTTCGTAGGAAACATTTTTATTCATTGAGCACCGGTCATTCTATAATATACATGAACTCGACCGTAAAGATCAAGGATACGCTCGCAGTGGTAACATTTTGTCATCGAGACTTTTTGTCTTCTTTCCATTTTCCGTACAAATTATAGGAGCCGGTGGCAGAAACAATATATGACGACAAAAAATCATTTGTTCGCGCCTAGTCTTAAGATTAGAAGATACGTAGTATCTTCTTCTTGGTCTGTGATTAGAAGTTTGTTTCTCTGAGAAGAAGAGAATCTGAGATCCCGTGAGAGATTATTATAATAATATAATAAAAGTATTATATAATATTCTTCATTCAAGTTGTTGCTAGATTACTTTAATTTTTTTAATGTATTCTAAGAGTTACATCATAGATAATAAAGTTTGAAACATTGATTTATTATATTATCTGTTACTATTAGCACAGAATAATACAGTAACGAAACTTGAGCGAATTCTGTAAATAAATAAATACGCTGCAATGGAGTGTTAGGGTTGCCTTCTTAATAAAACAGTGTTATATTTTTAAAGATTTTTATTGTTATTACCTTGTTATATAGTACACACTGAAAAGTATTTTCGTCTGTTACGACATGTTTTGAACGCTTTATTATTTAATTTTATGGTATAAAAAAATCTTCATTACACACGCGCGCGCACACACACACACGCACGCACGCACGCACGTACGCACGCACTCTCCCATAGCCGAACTACGCAGAACGAACAAACATATACCTATTTCATTCACACGTACTGACATCCTGTTGTTGTTTCATTAACTCATGACAGGTTGCATTGTTATCGACCCATATTAATTAAAACGCTGTACATTACGCGTTACATTCTAAACGGTTGTTAAAATTGCATTACATGACCGTCAATGTAAAGCGTTGATTTCTTAAAAGACGTCTATGTATCGCTGCGAACTGTGATCGCCGCTTCTTGATGATCGCGGATATTGAGAAGCGAGTCGCCCAAATATCGACCTTAAGTTATTAACGTAAGAGTGAATTTAGCTTTACTTTAAAGCGTCGTGTTAATCGCGGTTCAGGCACTAGTTTAATAATAGCTATCTATCGCGAATAACGTTAATCGCTACAGTATACTATGTACGTCTAGCAGTCACCAGTATTATCTATGGCGTGACGAAAACAACTGAGCTCACCTCGAGAACCTCTGAGAATTAACGTAAATGCGTACGTCTCTGTTTGCACATGATTTCGACCGTCGATTCTTAGTTTCGCTACTGTATTATCCTGTGCTATTAGTCTGTGTGACGCCTAGTCTTATGTGAAAACGCAACCTATAAAGGGACCGAAATGTCAAGAAAACTATATACAAACGCGATGAAACCTTTTAAAAGTTGTTTCATTAATATTTGTTGTTGTTAAAGTATGTTGGTACAACCGACCCCAAATGAGCTGGGTAATATTGTAACAGCAAAATGTATGCATTTTACTCTCGCTCGTTAAGGGAATCATAAATCTTATAATAACAAAATAAAAACTCTTCAAATTCATTCAATAATTTAATTCACCAATAACTTACACCAAGACAATATAACATTTGAAAGAAAAAATACGATAAAATTATCACAATAAAACGGGTATTATAATTATGTCAGCGAGTAATATTTTCGATAATACATTATCTAACATCAAATAAATTGATCTAAACAAGGTAAGTGAGCCAGATCACCACAGAACTTCAATAGATTTTGAACTTTGTATCACAAAAATAAGGTTTAAAATCATCAAAGAAATTGTTACTTCAAAAATGATCTATAGTACCGCACCTGTTCTCCATGCGTATACACTTAAAACGAGATCAATACTTTACATTTAGAATTGCTATTAACATATAAAAAATATTTAAGTGTGTCTACATTTTCGTATTTACAAATTTCCTAGTAGACAATTGGAGGATCACAATAGTGCAAAATTACTACCTAACATTATTTATCAATATATAAAACCAAGCGGAAAACCACAGGTACATTTTGTAGGCGCCTACAAATCGGAAGGCACCAAATATATTAATTAGAAAATATACTATTTCGATTTGACATTTCATTATGTCAAAGCAAAATATTGCTTATGATAAAGGCATAGAGTCTAAACGCATAATGAATATTACAATACTTACTTATATCTAATATTTTCACAAGCACTATTCACTAAATAAACTTTTTATATGAATTTACTATTTGTAAGTTTACGGAAATGAGTTAGTGCAATATTTACTATTGAATAATAATGTTTTGTTTTAATGTATATGACTTAGTTCACGAATAGGTAGTCATCATATTCTAAATGTGAAAGTTTCTTTGTTTGGATGTTTGTCCGTCAATCACGCCGAAACTACTAAACGGATTTTGATGAAATTTGGTATACAAATAGAGTATTAGCTGACTTAGATAATAAATTTTTATTCCACTTAACATTACCCTAGCGACCACGCGGGCGACGCCGCGGGCGAAAGCTAGTAGTCAATATAAATAGCCAAGAAGATCGAGTCTATTGAACGTAGGAAAATTAAACGATAATAGCATTTACGAAAATGAATGAATGTACAGATATGTTTCCTGTTAGTATAATTGGCACTGCAAGGTATAACAATTTCACAAAAAAACAAAAAAAAAAAGATATTTCTTCTCATCTATTTTCATCATCAGCCTATTGCTGCGGAACACTTAAAATAATTATAGACATTTTCATTTTTAAAGAAAAAATATATTAGCGCCATCTATTAAGAATGACAACAGTGGAAGTGTGATTGATTACCGATTACTTTATTTCGCATTATAAGCATTATAATTACATCAATAATACTCTTGTTATCAAAATTTATAATCAATTACACATTAAAGAATTGACAAAATAAATATGTAAGTTCTTGTATTATACAATATTAAATATCTTTTAGTTGGCCACTTATTGTAATTGATTTTCTGAAAAAAAAAATGTAAATAAAGTATATTTTAACGTGATAAGTGAAATGCAGTTTATATATTATTTATCAATATAAAGAATACCTTATACTAATAGAAATCTTAATTCATAATTTAATCAAACCTTTATAAGTTCTGTGGATTAGAGAAACTTTTAAAAACATTGACTCTGTATATTTTTTTGTAATATTTTTATCGATGGATTTACAGATGTTTTATAAAAAAATTTACTAGTGAAATACAAAAGCTAATAAAAAATATGTACATACACAAGAAAATATAGACAGTAGTAAATAAAACAATCTTTTTTTTTTTAATATTAATGAATATTGAAAATTCATACACGGAAAAAATCGCACTTATAAAACAATATAACAAAACGTTAGATTTTAATGAATAGTTTCAAACTGCCAATAAAATCAATGTTTAGATCTGGTATGCTGAGATAATTCCGCTTCTTTTATAGAAAAGAAGCGGAATTATCTCAGCTAATCAGCTCAGCTAATAAATATCTAAGCGGAAATATCATAATTTATATAGATAAAGCACATACATTATGAACAAATACAGTTCTCTATTTTATTATTTTATTCGGGCAAACAACACTTTTGTTTTTATAATAATTATTGGGGCAGTGTGCAAAATTAAGCATAATGTTTGGAAGTCTATCCGAGCATTTTTCTCACTAATGAGAAATCTATGGACTCTCTCCTAATCAGATAGGCACTCTCATTTTTGCTGATCTTCAGTGGTGTACAGTTCATGGTAATAATACAGTTTTCTCAAATGCGGCTTAGTAATAAGAGCGGGTGTGTACTGCGTGAAACTCGAATATTGGAATCAATACTCTTAGCAAAAAGATTGAAATTTCAATGTATTGTATTCCATTGCAACTTATAATAGGGAACGGGTTAATTGTATACTTATAACAAGTACAAGTTCTATGGAAGAAGAATTATTTATATATTTCTAACAATATTAAGATAGTACCGACATATATTTTAAGTTGTTTTTAACATGAAAAAATTTCACGTTACGACTATTTCTTATCACATTTTGTATATTCCCTTTCATATCTTGCCTTTAATAATAAAAAAATATATATGTACAAATATGAAATAAATAATAATATACAAAAAAAGTCTTCCACTTTAATAATGATTTTAAATAGAACTCAAAGTTAAGTTATTAATAGAAAGATATGAGTTTTAATACTTTGGCTTTATTTTGTCCATTGCCATACTAAATCTCCATTAATAATTCTGTAAATAAATATTAATTATTTTATATATGGCAAATCCCTTATATTCAGAATGCGGCAACACTTACGCCCAAACAGCTATGAATTGCCAGCGAAAAAATCAAAGGACCATAGACAAACGTAATATTTCCGAAAGAGTATTGTTTTCGTCAATCGGGGATGTTGAATTCAGCCCAGACAGGACAGTATGGGGAGGCAGGGCCGCCCCAGGACCAGCCGCGTGGTATCGCGAGGTGACTGAGTCCGGACCTGATGGCGCCCGCGTGACCATTGAAATTGCTTTTGTCTATGGGCCGGGGGCATAAAATGCACGTCAAACCTTTGTGAGTCTGGTCGATTGTGGTCGATACTTCTTCGCTCAACAGTGATTCGTAAATTTCTAAAGCTGAAAATAAACATTAGTTTTATTTAGTATATATTTTGAACGAGACTGAAACTAATATCGCTAGTTTGCAGTGTTGCCAACTTTATATGTCTATGCCAGACTGTAAGCAACTGTTTAAATAAACTCTTAAAAGTAATACCAGATGCAAATAAGGTAAAAATATCAAATTATTATACTGTTAGGGTGAAAAAGATCGACTACAGCTGACAAAACTAATTATCGATTTCGCGTCTTTAATCGATTCGATTTGGCGATTTTAAATATAACAATTGTATAGTCAAATGTGTCTTTCAATACTGATAAAATTTTATAATATTTACTTAGCATTCACTATACTGATAAAGATCTTATTGAAAAATGCTTAATAAGATCACCAGCTCCAGGAACCCAGAGATGGGACTCGAACCCACGACCTTTCGATATCTGAGCGGATGCTCTAACTACTAAACTATCCGAGACCCATCAGGACTGTTTTCTTTAACTATAAAGCGTAACTTTTTAAATCTCGGTCTGCTTCCAATCGGATCTAGGACTAATTATGTATTGACACCGATACACAAATTGAGAATTAACTTTTCTAGTAACAGATGAAACTGAACTCAGTTGCAACATAATAGTCCAACATAATATATTGATTTGACAGTAGTAAATAAAAAGTTGACATAAAAAGTACGCACTCTTGATTGTAAACCTATGAAGTGTGTTTTTTATTCGAACACTATGTGTCGTCTAGTACAGTCGACAGCACATCTGGTTACTTCAAAAGGTAAGTTCCGGTTGATTTTAAGCCTTAACCCGTTACTATTTAAGTTCAAAGTTGATTGCAGACTTCCTTTCAGTGACAGCTGTGAGTATATTTTCAACCCAGTAACCGACGTACAACAGAACGAGATAAACTCCCATTGTTCGGAAGCCGTTATCTACATATCTATATTAATTAATCCAATTACCGGTTGCTAATCGAACATGGTAACACTGGAGTAATAAATAATAAATTTTAATCTAACAACAAGTATCGTAACGATTATAAGATTATTTTATTGAGCCCTAAGAGATACTGACGCGTAGCTTTCGACTTTCTATTTTCACAAGTGCTATGAAACAGCCTGGACTGAATTAACGATTTTCTCGACACGGGACAGTTCCCTGTTGTTATCTACCACTCGCATGTCTAGTACATTGGATTCGATTTGACTGGCATCGGATTCATTCAACGTTCAATACTGTATTGAACTTTGAGTCCATTTGATTCAATCCGATATAGGTATTTAACGTGTGTACACACTGCATCTAAATCTAAAAAAACAACTTTGCAATTCTGTAATATAAGGAATTCAGAATCGAGAATAATACTATGGCATTAACGCATCAAAGAAGTTCGATTAAATAAAACCTTTATTACCTATTAAAGTTGGTTTTATTTTATTGTCGTGGCGACTTCGTTGCGTTCAACGACGGTTTTTTTAACAGAATAACTTACCATTGAACGCAGAGTGACTTTAGGGTTTAGTGCCTTCTTGTCTCAAGAACTCGAGAAACGTTTAACCTACATATTTCGTGCCAAGGGTGATAGTATTGTATGGGCACATCCGAGAAAAGTGTCTTTCAGATGTTATGCTCAATGTTGCCAACTTGCCACTTTCGGTGTTCGATTTTGATACTATTTTTTTAGCACGAAAATTTAGCATGAAGCGCCAAATGTATGATATTGTTACTCAGTATCATGTGTCTACTCACATTGCACGTTGTCTTGGTCCAACAATTCGCCCACTAAGGCGAGTGGTATACGCGCAGTAGCCGCCAGTTCAGAGGCGTGCTTTATCAGCCTGCAGTCGTCACGGCTCAGCGGACCACTACACTTGATATTTACAATCACCACAGGCCGACCGCATATCAGAAATGCTGTAACAACAAAAGAAAAGCAAATATAAAGTATGCCGATTCTCTCAAATTCAAACCAGAATTCCCCGGCTGCCCGGAAGAGAGTAGGTGTGATAGATAATGCTACCATTCTTATCTATACGTGTACATCATATTAACGACTAGCTGGTTTCCAGTGACTTTACCCGCGTAAATTATAGACTATGTCACCCGCACATGATGTAGCTTAGGAGGTGAAAGAATTTAAAAAACCCAACCATTCGTTTTGGTGTCTATTCAATGCAAACAAATAATTAAATCCTCTTTACTTACTGCACAGATTGTGCGGGAAGGATTTTTCCATAAGAATTTTTCTTTTCTTTTGTTTCCTTGAACTTCAATGAATGAATTAAAAATAAAATAGAAGTACACCGGATAAAGAATTGGTCCATTCGCTTCCGTGTTTTACGATCAGAAATATATCTAGCGATTCTTTTTTCTTGTCCTATCTTAATTTTAATGAAAAGCAGTCATCGTCAACTAAGCTGAAAATTGTAAACATCTAATATGGCGGACGGTCCAAGATGGCCTAGTTTTTTGTTCTAACAGGAGATGTGTATCAAATGAAAGAGAAATAGTTAAAAAGAATACGTTAAAAAATCCTTTAATCTCTCTATTATACGAAATTGAAAAACATAATATGTATTATACTTATGTAAATGACATTTGACAATACAAGGCAACTTTTAATGATCGAGCTTTTAAACATAATTGAGAAATGACGCGATTCTAACGCACATCCCACGCCAGTCAATCCAGACATTATTTCGCCTTGGAAATTCTAAAACAGAATGTTTCTAAAACATATTTATTTAATTCGAAACAGCGAAACAACATTCTTGTTAACAAAGTATCGTTCATACAGAGCGTTCGGAATATAACGATAACAATTCTTTTTATCGCATTTGCGAAAGCACGTGGCGATAACGTACCTACCAGACGATGACGTGTAGATACTTATCTACATAGGTAAGCAGGAATTAACCGATGTCTGAGATTTTGAGATGAGACTTAGGAAAGTCACAGTTAAAAATGATGCTACGGCAAATGAGGCAATAGTTAGCCTCCTTTCAAAGAATAAATGGTGAACGGAAGTGTCCCCGTAAAGTCGAGCAAAAAAGTGCACGGCAATAACAACCTTCTCTAGAAGCCAAGCCATTTTTGACTCCTTGTAACTTCGTGTTAACTGGAAGACCAAATATGACAAAGCTGGATAGCTGCTCTCCCAGAATGATAGGAACTGAATTAGTCGACTTGGTTTACGTTGATATCTTAACATAATATGTTATGTTTTTGATTGTGATGGAAATTATTTTTGAGTCGAATAGGTAGTCTATTTATTAAGGCTATATATCTAATCGAGCGGTGACTAATAAGAGTAGATCAGCAATTAAAAATGTTGTAAAAACGCGGGCGAAGCAACTGGCGGAAAAGCTAGTCTATTATAACAGCTGAATTCAGAAAAGAGACATGTTGAGATGATGTTTATAAAATCATATTCTTTGACATTGGAGATAAGAATTTTCCAACTTATAACGATAGGCAAAATAGCTGGTCCAAATTATGAGACTAAAAAACATTACAGAATAACATTAATTTATTTGTCGACGGCTCTACTTCCCTCAGTGTGGTAACAACCACATATTATCAAATCGATAATTCACTAAATGGATAGTATTTTAGTGGTTTACATTTTTTATTTAAACGCTCATTTTCTAACGGTTCGATCGTTGAATTGTAAGAGTATACATTGTAATATCAAAATACTAGTTTAATACAAACAGCAGAAATTATGATTCTGCCAGAAGGCAGCCAAATCATAGCTTCTTTACAAGGCTAAATAGAAATTTAGCCTTGTAAAGAAGCTATGATTTGGGTGACGGACTCAATCGAAGATGATTTCAGGCAGGCGCAGAAAGTAAGGATGTTTATATTAGGTTCTGAGGAATACTGAACTGGACTCTATTGAAGCACCATAAGGTATTTTGCTGAAGAAAGTAATGCTGCTTTTGAGGAAAAAGCACCTTTACTACAAAAGTTATACATTGTTCTGTCTGGTCATTGTGCAGACACCATGAAACTCAGTCCAGGGATGTGACATCTTATCGATATTATGACGATATTTCGTTTCATGTTACTATGTACTTTGACATGTCTCTAGGCGGATAAATTTGGGATAAATTACTAAGTTGGGTAACACTCGTATCTAATCCGAAAGCATTCATTCTTTATCTTTCGTTCGTCGTTACTAAAGTACACGTCAAAGTAGCAATATGAAACGAAATACTGTTATAGCATCGATAAGATGTCGTATCCTATGGCTAGAATTATGATCTATCCAGATTCAACTAAAATAAAGAAAGAACATTAAGGGTAGAATTTGTCAAAGAGATGGGTGCCACTTTACTTAAGCGGCAAAAGCGATTCCTGGATAGCTTATATTAAGCAAAATAAATAAAATGGAAGAATATTCAAAAGGAAATATAAAAGTTTTTACCCTTTTGTGTTCTGTAGTTTTGTTTATTCAATAATAGTTTCAAGTAAAATAGGGTATCAATTTATTTCGAAGATAATTTAATAATGCTAATAGCAATAAAATTACATTGTGAAGAATTTTGCATGAGAAACAAACGCTTAAATTGTAGTATACATATAAACACTACATTGGTTATATGAATGTCTCACTTTAAAAAGGTAATTGATCCATATACGAAGATACTCCTTGCGTTCACTTCAGCTCAGGGTGACCTCTAATGACAAAACGCAATGTATAGTATAAAGAGAGGAACGTAAGATAGTTTTGAGAAAACCGTCCTGTGTCAATTTCAATAAGGTTCAAGCAATACGCACGGTACAGATTTGCAAATGTCAATATCACACACGAAACAGTAGGGTTGTCAACTTTTATTTGTATCAAGTTTAGTTTTGTATCAAGTCAAGTACATTTGGGTTATTATAATAAGAAACATTTGACATCTTTCAGTCTCAACTTCAAAGTAACTTTGTAATGTAGTAACCATATTATTATAAATATTTTCAAAGTTACGGCAGCGATACAATTGCATATTTCTTGTTATTAAAATATATTAATCGTCATTATAAAACTAAAGCATTATTAATGGTGTTCAAAATACCTGGTAACTTTGGTATACCAAAGAAAACTAATTTCAATTGGTTGTGTATCTTTAAAAATTATGAAATAAAACCATATTTCTAACCTGTCACATCTAAAACGTGAATTTAAAAATTTTGTCTATACAACCAAATAACGAAGTTACCCCCTAAATTCTCAATTTACTCCATTTCTTATTGTAACTATTTTTTATTGGGAAAATTTATAAACAAGTAAATCACTTTTTGGCCGTGTCGATAAATATATTTGGTAAGTGATTCATCAAACAGTTTTAGACATGCAATTCGACATCCTCTATCCCTATTTATTTGCAGTGGGTAATGAGATACAAAAGTGATTTGGATTTATTCTCCCACTCTTTAAAATTTTACATTACGCTTAGTAATAATTATTTGTGCGTCGTCTGTGATTTTCTTCTTTTCATAATTTAATAAATCAATCTCACGAAGTAATATATTGATAATAATCATAAAATTGATTTTCCTATTGTACAATAACTCCATTCGATACACATTTCTTTGAAAACCATAACAATTCGTTAAATTAATCGAGAATTTGTAGAAGGAAGCCTCATTATCAAGTTCAGATTGATAGATGTCAAGTGTGACTTTTTATAATGATCCAACTGTAGTATAACATAAAGTTGTTTCCCGCTGTCTGAGATCTTTTAAACTACACAAAACGGTTAATGTGGTTTTCATCAATATACAGAGTAATTAAGGAGGCAGGTTAGGAATACAGAACCGCATAAGCGAAGCCGCTGGTGGAAAACTAGTGTAAATTAAAATAAAAATCAGCAGAGCGCATTTGTCCTGTTCCGAAACAAAATACTAGCGCATGTATAATAAAATGATAAGTTCATGTTATCCCCGCTGTTCACGTTGTAAAAAGAACGAAAATTTGAAAAGCTCTTTCCTAGATTTATAATTTAGTACTAGCTTTCTTAAGCTACGTCGTAACTACAGATATGCCGATCGTGCTTCAGTTTTTAAAAACTGGCATCCATTTTATCCGTAGCAGGGCGACCGGATCGACAGGCAACTTTGACATCAAAATTTCCGGACTGAAAACGCTTAAATCAAATTTGTGCTACTCTCACATAAACTGCGCTAGGTTCATAAATGTCCCAAATTTTTTTCGCGGCTTGCGTTGCATTTGACCTTTATTATTATTAGATTCACTCATTTTGACAGTTAGAAAAACAAATAAAAATCACATGTTTTCCTAATTTGAATTCGGAGTTACCTTTTTTAAAATTAAAACTTTTTAATGATACCGAAAGCAGCCAGATACAAATGGTATAGCCAGAAAGATTTTATTACGAGGTTATGCGTAGTATATACGAATACGCTTTTTCCCCAACGTAATATGAAAGTTGATACATCAAAGGCAAGACAACGCCCAGACCCGAAACAATATAGAAAAATTTATTTTCTAAATTGATCCTACTGGGTTTCGAATCGAACATGGAAGTATAAGTGTATAAATACAAGTACCCCTCAGAGATGAGGACACCTCAAAAGCAGCGAGTAAAGATTAGTTTTTTATTTATTATTTATTTATACTTAAAAATTACTACCTATACCGATTTTACAAATTATTTCACTAAAATAAAGTCATATTATCAATGAATATAAAACGGGACGAAGTTCATAGTTTGCTAATAAATAAAGATAATTATAAACGAGTTGCCATTTCGACGTTAACTATTCTATTAGTTAGTTAGAGTCTCGTAGATCAATTCTAATGAATTTATATCGAATGAAAATTATTAACAAACGTGTGATCGACGCAAGATTTAAGAATAGAGCTCAATCTCTTCTACTGCAACGTGTTGCGACAACTCACA